CTCTTGATGCTCTCTTTCCCACCTCATTTCTTTTAACTCTTGTCTGTACTTCCGTTCAATGAACCGCTTCTGATGGGCCATCTGGGGAAAGTTATCTGACACGAGGAGATACATTTTATACTCAATAAAGGGTAGCCTCTGGTGCAAAGAATGATGCAAACTAAACACACACACATTCACAAGAAACAGAGAGCTGTATGTTCTAAGGCAAGAGGCAAACAACTGCTCGGCGTCTTCCCTCAGTCTTTTGTCATTCAGAAACCCACTGGTAGTCTGCACCAGCACCCTAATGCTAGATTGCGGTATCTGATGTGAACTTGAGTATTAAAAGGCAGCAAAACATATAAGAATGTTAAAACACAGATGTGTGGTTTCAGAATGGTTCCAGGTAGGTAAGTGTTTTAACAGGGTTCTCCTAGTAAGAAGTGATTGTCAGGGAGATTACAGAATGTAGTCCGATGGACTTGTGTATTTTTTGCAAAGCTCAAACCAAAAACTCCAAACAAATAATGGTATTATCACACCATTAGTTACCAAGAATTAAAATTTCTGAAAAGAGGAAAAAGATTTGATGGACAGAAGCGTTAAGTCATTATTTCTGATCATTCTATTTTTATAGTTTACCATGAGATACCCAGGGCTATGTCAGCAACAGCAATGCAGGTAGAGCATTTTTATTTGGTTAAAGGAAATATGTCACTCAATGGTATAGTTTAAGCTACATTTTGGTTGATATTTGACCCTGTGCAAGAATCTTAGACACAGTGGAAATCTTGGCTAAGATCTAAACATTCTACGACTCAGTTGTCCTTTGTGGCATATACCAAGTACAGAGACGGAGTAGAAATCAAGGATGGAACAATAACAGGAGTCATTTATACACTTAGTCATCAAGCACATACTTCAACAGCAAACGTCACAGAGGGATGCATGCATGTATGAGAGCCACCCAAGTTACCTGGTAACACAGAGGGAAAAGGACACTCTTCTCCCGAACCAGGTAAGGGGCTGTTACATACAAGAGTTCCTACTTCATATTTAAAAATATGAAGATTCAGAGATGTGAGAGAGCATGGCATGTTTGGAGAAGAGCACGTTTGTTTTTTAAGATTGAAGCATAATAAAAGTGGATATAAATATATAGCAAATTCCTAAATTATTCCCCCTCTTTTTATATAGTGTTCCATCCTCCCCCCAAGTGAGAGAAGGGACAGGAACAGGGTGGTAGGAAAAGCATCTGAGAGGCAGGCGGTGAATCAGTAAAGACCTTGTATATCTGAGTCACTGATTTTAAACAGAAGAGATACATCATGACATCTGTATAAATGAAACAGGAACAAAATCCTATTCCCTCAATGATATCAAGATGACCTTATGTATTGTATAAAACAGAGGTTTCAAGTATTCTAGGTACTTTTTAAAAAAATAAATCCAAAACAGCTAGCTATAAAGCAAGTTTCTACAAAATGAACCCTACTTCCTCAGTAAATTCTATTCTAAAACCTAGTTTGCATTAAAAAAAATCCCACCACTCAGATCTAACCACTGATAAACTTTTAGAATGTATCCTCATAGTCTCCTATGAAGTTATGCTACACACACACACATACACAGTGTAAATGTGTATATATTATATGAACATAGGAATACTCAATCATTCCTACACCCACCCTTACTTTGGGAGAGAACAGCATAGGTACGTTTTTATGGGTACTTTTTAAAACATTCTAGTGTAAGTATTTTCCTGTATCACTAGTCTTCAAAAATACTGCTGTAATGATTGCAACATATTACAGCATTTGGATAAAGCAAGACTTGGTCAACTACTGCCCACCACCTGTTTTTGTAAATAAGGTTTTACTGGAACACAGACACACCCACTCATCTGCATACTATTCATTCCTGCTGCTACATTGGCAGAGCTGACTAACTGTGACAGAGACTGCATGGCCTGCAAAGCTTAACATACTTACTATCTGGTCCTTTACAGAAAATGTTTGCCGACCCCTGGGCTATAGTATCATTTATTTAAGCACTTCCCTACTGTTAATCATGCAGTTTGATTTACTTATGTATTTTTTGGCTGTTATAAATCAAGTTGTCACTATTATCATGGCATGTGAACTTGAGCTCATTAACTCCTTAGGTTTGATTCCTAGAAATGAAGTCTCCAGATCAAAGAATATGGACTTCTTTAAGGACCAGATACAGACAAACTGCTTTCCAGCAGTTTAAACGATTCACTCCTGCCAGTAGGTATGTGGAGGTCAGTCTCCGAACAGGCCATCTCTCCAGGACTGTTTTATCGTTAAAAAACAAACAAAAAAAGCTTTGGATCCAAAGAGAACTTTCGCAATTTTACAGGTAGAAAATGGAATCTCACTTTCATTTCAGTATGTTCTTGTGCATTTGTAAATAATGAATGTAAGGATTCCCCAACAGAGTTAACTTAAAACTTTCAGTGAAGATTCCACGGACCCAGGAACCTGGAAATATCAGCTACCGGCCCCAACTTGTCCTCCCTCCCCCCACCCCAGGAAGCCACGGTCTGCTGATTTCCACTTGGCTCCTGCCCTCTTGCCTTCCCTGGAGAGAATCCTGGGCCTCTTGACTTTTAGCTTCTCGCCCTTTGCTCCATCCCACAGTAAGCTGGTACGCGGAGCACAATGGGATTGCACTGTGGTGTTTGGCACACTCTGCTGTGCAGCACAGCAGACCTCAGAAGAAAAATTCTTCAACTTACAAAAGACTATGCAGTTCCCTACCTGGCCAATTACGTAATTCAAGTGTTTTCCACCCAGCCATCCCACTCTTGGGAATCTATCCCACAGAACCAAAAGGACCAATAGATAGACATTTACTGTCAACAGTGATTAAAAAAAAAAAAAAAAAAAACAGAAAGAGTGTCCACCAAAACTAAAAAAGCTGACTAGAATATGGCAAATCCACAGCATGAAATACTATGCAGCCATTAAGAAAGAATGAATTGGGGGCCGACAACAGAAAGATGCAGAAAAGTATGTAAATATCTCACCCTCATAAAACAACAGCCAAAAACAAAAAGAAAAAACCGTCACCTGTATATGATTTTAGAAGCATAGAGAAATACATAGAAAAAGATACACTGGGTTATTCACACGAGCTACCTGGGCTGAGTGGGACTCCACGCAAGAAAGGACAGTGAAAATCAAAAAGCATTCAGGAATACGTTTCAAAAAAATTATTAGCCCATTTTATACATATCTTATATTCTACTACACTCTATGTGGAGAGTAATTATGAAGAAAAAAAGATCACATTTTATCAGTACTTACCATTTTTATATCTCCCCATTTTCTTTCCATAAAACACACATTATGAACATATAATTATAGAAAAAGGAATAGGCTTACATTTTTCCAGTGCATCCATTGCTGCTCCCATTTCCGCTTGCTGAATACTATTAAATAAAATAAAGGTAAGGTGCAGTTTAAAGATTTTTTTCACAAACACAAGCTATGGCCACACATTATTCAGGTTGATTTTCATGTCTCGGGCATAATATTTCATCTGATTACTTCTGTCACATACTGAATTGCACAAGTTAGGAATATACACAAGGCCATGCAGAACCATCATTTATTTGCACAAAGACTATTTATGTTATTTGTTCCACATTTTGAATGCTGTAATAAAACGCCTTCCATTTATATTAGGTCTGAAGTATTTCTTAAGTTTGAACATCCTTAGCATAAAGTTTAAAGAAGAAAAGAGTAAAAAAAATACATGTATAGACAGACTTCCAATCACTTCTCAGTTTAAGATATAAATTAGAGAGTTCAAAGAAAGAGGATAATATACATAATTCTTTTTACCTGAGAGAAGATGTTAGTTAGCATTTCCAACAAAGCTCAAGTGAGTAAGCAGTAAGACGTCAATGTCTAATGCCTGGGTCACGCACAACGTGTCCTATAAAATGCTTGCAGCAACGCTGGGTACCCTGTTGGGTAACTGACACTGGACGGTCCTTACCTGCGCACCAGGTAATGTGGCTTTCTCAAGGAAGCCTAAGCCCCTTATGTAAAGGCATTCCCACCGTCCAAGGCCCATCTCAAGTCTGGGGCTGGACTTGGTGGGGACATTAATCCTTAGGATTCACTTTGCTATTACCCTTGAACATTCTACACTCTGAGTTTAAAAAGACAGACTGCAGAGCTTGGAAATATCAAGTAGGGACTTCTCAGACACACAGGATGTTCATTCGAAGAAATTAAAAGGATCTCCTCTCATACCTTGGTCCTTTCCCACAGCCTATTCTTTCTCCCTTGAAGTACACTGCCACAGTGTAGGTTCTAGCATGGGAGGGTCCTACAGTCTGCAGAGTCCTGAGAGGAAAAAAAAGGAACATTAATTATGGTAAGGTGTTATTTCATTCTTATTGCTAACACTTAACTCTAAGAAAAACCATGTACTTATCACTTAGACAGAAAAAGGTAAAAATAATTAGAAAATTAAAGGAGTAAGTTTATTTGCTATGCTGACAAATAGAGAGAGAGCTTTTAAAGTAGGAAATTTTTAAAATTCTACACTGGATTTTTATGTATTTTTTCCCAAAGCATTAGAAGTAGTATCTGAAGGCTGGTAGAGAAGTGTAAAATGTTTTAAACAATTTTAAAGTGTATATACTCCAAGTATCCTAAAACTAACAAACTTGCAGCAGTGAAAAGTTAACCCTTTCAGTCTGTTCATTGTTCTTCAGTGCTAATCACAACCAAAAATGAAAGTATTTGGGCAGTACATCTCAAGCCACATCTGAATGGTCTTGTCCTTTATGAATTCTTTCCAATGCCTGGCATCTTATCAAAAAGATCAGAAAATGTATTTAATTTCTGAAACATCTAAGATCATTTCAAAGGTACACTGTAACGCCAAGTACACAACTGCCAAAAAACAAAACTCCAGGTACTCTGGATTTTAATGACATGGTGCAGATTTCTCATGCAGTAAAACTGATAACTTTATGGAAAAGGGAAATTAAAAGTAGCCAACAAAGATAATGGAACGAACACAGTAACCTTGAAAAAAAAATATGCAAAACAACCCTATCATCTTGATAAAAAAGAACAAGCTCATTGTGTACTTGCATTTGGGGGATTTATGAGAAGGGAGCAGAGTCATTTCCTTTGTGTTCTATACACCCCGTGGGATGAAAGCACACGGTGGCTCCTTTAAGGGAGCACTTCCGGCAGTAATCATGCCTGTGCTATCAGAAGTTTATCATCCTCATTTTATTTACTGGACCTTAATTACCATTTTGATGAGGAAACACTTTGAGCCTTTCATGTAATACAATTTGGATATTCATTATGCTTATTAGGTACACATTAAAGTCCTATTTCTAAACATTTGGGGATTTCTCCCAATAAGTAAAGGAAACATTGTTTTGCAGTGACAGCTTCTTGGGACAATTTATAGTAGCTTGCTGTGGGGTGACTCAAACTTCTCTTGGCCTCAGTTCTCTTAGAGAAAAAGCCTATAACGTGTTGTGACTATTAAACACATAAAGAAGGATTTAAAATTCCCAGCTGCCACTCTGGTGTTTTTCCTTTTGAAGTTTGAGAAAGTCCACAGAGAGGGGCTTTTATTCCATATGGAACCCTCTCACAAATGTGTGTGCAGAGACAACAGGTAAACCAGCATTCTAACTAGATTTTTAAACATCCTTAAAAACACATACCCAGATAATGCCTTGGGAGGCAATCCACCTATTTTGATAATCCTTTCCTTTTGTAATTCCTCTTTAAAAACACCTTCTGAATCAACAAAGGAGAGTCTCAAGATAATTACTCTACCTCGGAGTCAAATCTGCTGTTTTCATCAAAACTGGTATTCTGTGTGTAGTAGTGACCTGCATTCTTTTGGCATGAATGTTGGCTACCACTCAAAGGACAACGATTTGTCACTAAACATATTCAAAAGCCCAACCGCAGTTTCTGATACACATTCTGAGAAGAAAAACCCCAAATGTGTGGGTAAGACAGGGGCAGTGAAGCGCCCTGCCTCCTGCAGTGGCTGCCTGACAGGGCATGAAGCTGTCCGGCAACAGGGACAGAAGGCCAGCAGGCTTCAGACTGGAGTGGAGAGAGACACCCAAATACTGTTACCAACAGGCACAACCTTCTCATCGAGATGCCCAGCCCAGCAGAGGTTATGAGAAATAAGATAAACATAAAAAGCACAGATAATCAGAGGTGACCCACTTACTTAGAACGAAAAGACGGAGACGCCCAAAGAGATTCTGTGCTGGGCCCAGAGTCGGTGTCCAGGAGGCCGCATTCAGGCCCCTCGTCATGATTCCCCCCGTGGTCCGTCCTTCCTCCAGACCCCTTGGAGCATGGACTCACCACTCAGTGGTTCGACGCCTGCGGTAGCAAGTACTTACTTGTACAGAGGAATGTCGGGCTCCTTCCCTTCGGTCCTGAGTGTCAAGCAACACTGCTGAAGCTGGGACTTGGGGTCATTCCAATCCTGATTCAAAATAAACTCCTGTAGCAAGTCCCCAAGAAATATTCAGTAATGGGTCCTGGAATCACCAAGCATCAAGTATATGACCAATTTAAATTTTATATGAGCTTACTTTTAATCGTGGGAAGAAGCAAACATTCATGAAAGTGTGAACATATTCCAAATCCTTATCAATGTACAGCGCTGCAATAAATGCTGAAAAACAGAACATTTAAAAAATAAAACCACAGTGCACTGCCATTTCCCAGAAAGAGTAAGAGACCAGACTTTTAAGAAACATTGTAATGAGGTTTTCAACTCCCAGGCCCTCGTTATTTTTTAAAATTATCCTATCCCCTTTCTTCAAACAAGAATTTCCCTTCATCACTAATATTAGAAGCAACAGTACAGATGTGTGATTAAAATGCAAAAATCAAAGAGTACAAAGACCAAACTACATTTGGCTAAAAGCTAAATAAATAGTTAAATGGTACACAAAATGCTATTTATTGTACAGCAGGGAGAGAATGATATGTGGGAATACAACCACATTAACTACAAATCAAAAGAAAACCTGAAGATCAGATATGACAGTAGAATGAGCACATTCTTGCGGCCTGCCATTCTCTACACCAATCTTGAGAAGACTAGCCATTTACAAGGGTCTATGTTACATTTCACGTACAGAATTTTGTAGTCAATCTGCCCAACAGAGAAAAATTTAATACTGGGCTTAATGACAACATAACAATATATCAAACTTTGCATTAAGAAATGGTGACCCAAATGATGATTTCATTAAAAGGCACTTTAACCAAGGAAACGGTGAGTTTTTAAAAGAAGGTAATAAAAATAGCTCTTACTGAGCTTAAAAAATCAAAACAAAAATCAGTAAAACTGATTACTCAACTTTGTTGTAATTTTAATCTCTAAGTTACTTTTCTTTAATTGAAAAAGAGGTTCTTTTAAGTTCCTTAGTCAGACTGCCTTTGCATTTTGTAAATGAGCTGGTTTTGCATGGTAGACTTTAATATTTGTATATAATTCCAACTGTCAAAAATACCATAATATTTTTTTTTAAAGTTCCAAAGCCCAGTGAATGGTCCACTTATTTTAAAGTAGTATCAAAAACAATAAAATTATGCATATAATCCTTTAGTTAGCCATAATAGGATTATTTTTAATGCTTCCAGACCATATCAGAAATTGCCAAAGATGATAACATTTGTCCATAGAGCTTTGAGCTCATTCAAAACAACAGATAATAGTTTTAGTATTTAGCGAATAAATTAGCCTTCTTTCTTCTACGCCCCTGTATAAAGGCTGCTGGGTGGCAAGAAAAGCTGAGTCACTCTTACCAATCTTCATATTCTGCTACTGTTTCCCACAAAGGATGTGATGGTTAAGCATTAGGATGGAGGGGTGCAGAAGCAGGGATGGGGGGCGGGTGTACCACTGAACAGAGATTGAATATAAAATTCATTATTCGCATGTCTTAATTCCAAAATACTCTCCTTCTAAAAAACTTCAGAGAAAAGCATAAACAAAAATTAAAATATAAAAGGTTTCTTTACTTACAACATAATAATAATGAGAAGTAAGATAAGTGTGGGTGCATTTGATTTACATTCTGAATCTGCAGGTTAAGAGAAAAGCTCTATTCCTAAGACTCACATTCCAAAAGGTCTGCCAAGGTCTTGGTCCTAAGAGCCACAGGTCTCTTGGTCTTGTCATTCGTGATGGCATACTCCTGCATGCCCAGCTCCTCCGCTACCTTGGCTTGAGTTCTGTTATTCACCAAAGAGCTTCGCAACAACTGGCCAGAAGGAATTGAGGCATGTTTAGAAACCATTTCACCGGGCACCTGGGTGGCTCAGTAGGTTAAGTGTCTGCCTTCAGCTCAGGTCATGATCCCAGGGTCCTGGGGTTGAGCTCTGCGTCGGGCTCCCTGCTCAGCGGGGAGCCTGCTTCTCCCTCTCCCACTCCCCCTACTTGTGCTGTCACTATCTCTGTCTCTCTCTCTCAAATAAATAAAATCTTAAAAAAAAAGAAAGAAAGGAAGGAAGGAAGGAAGGAAGGAACCATTTCACTGTGATCTCTCCCACTCCACTGCTGGGCCCAACCAGACTGAAACCACATTACTAACTGGAACACCAAGGTAAGCAATGGTTTAAGTCCTCAACCACTATACCCAGGCTGCTGTGACAAACTCCATATGCTTCTAGCTTCTCCTTAGTAACTTACTCTGCTCCTGGATTTTACCTGTTATTTAAATAGTTTATTTAGTTGTTCAGTAGCAATGAGCCATGTTGGGGGGAGGGTACTATACTATGATTAAAGATCATAGCTTCCACTAACTGTAATGCTACTAAGTGTAAGGAGCATTAACATTTTTAAAAATCAACTGTACTGTAGTATAAGTTACAGACAATAAAATGCACCCATTTCAAGTGTAGTTAGATGAGTTTTGACAACTTTCTACATTTCTGTCGCCCCCAAATAGTTCCATGTGCCCCTTTGCAATCAATCAATCTGATGCACCACCCACCAGGCAAACTCGACCTGCTTTCTGTCACTGCACATTAGTTTCAAAGGAGCATTTTTAACAAGTTTAAAATAAATTTCAAGTTTCACAGCACTGATGCTAATTTTGGTTTATAGAATTTGGGGAAGTAATGTTTTAGTAAACATTATTTAAAATATTTGAATTATTTAATTTTTACTTTTATTATTTTAAAGACGTATACTATATATCCTGAAGTACAGTTTATCAAATTGGGACTCTTCACCTCTAATCAAATTAAAATGTAATTTTCATATTTCAACTTCAAGAATTCAAAACAAAAATTTCTAGTAGAAATTTCAGTCAGCAAAGAGTCCTCCAAGCACCATCCTAAATAGTAACATTACACAGTGCATGCAAATTATACAACAAACCCATCTCAGAGGTGCCTGTCCAGCAAGCATGGTTTAGGAACTTGGCACTCAGGAACCACTGACTAGAGGAAGTGAGGAGGAAGGCTAGGGGAAGCAGACAGATACCAAGAGATGGACCAAACCCAAGATTTCGGGGAATAACATACCTAAAACTAGAACTCTTCTTACAACAGCTCTAACAAATTCTTGGTCTCCTACAACAATCCCTTCCTGCTAAGGAACAGCCCTGACACCAGGGCCACGGGCAGGAAGCAGCTGTGGCCGCACTGGTGTCAGACCCCCTGCTATTCCACACTGCACTTTATTAGAGGCAAGTTTTATGCTCTGTGGCTCCAGTGTCAACCGAGCTTATGAAAATCAAGATTTATTCTCAATGCCTGAGATTGCATCCTTGACAATAGATAAATAAGAAACAATATGTTCTTAATTTGTCTGACAGTGATGCATGAAGCAGAACTACAACTTGATCTTCATAAGCCATGCTTGCTATTGAGTTAAGACTATTATTCTTTGCTTGTCTCTGCTCCCTTCCTCCTCCTATTTCCCCCAACTCTATCTTTTTTCTCAATATAGTAAATGTTTCATTAAAATTAATATCCACAGAGAAGCTCAAAATTAAAAAGGCCTACCATATAACGTTAATAGAAGACCCAACCAATAGGAGCCTATCAGCCTAGTACCCTGTAATTACAGAATAACTGAGCTGGAAGGGAGAGATCTTTTTTCATCTGGATTCCCAATGGGGAGACAGGGGGAGACAGTTCTCAAAGTAGAGGCTGGAGGGGGGGATGGAATAGGAGGGCTATTTTGAGAATATGGTTACGCTGAGCAAGTTGAGTTCTCTCTCGGTATATGCTTTGGTGAGAAGACAGAACCCTAATTCAGGCTGCCTACATGGGGATGTCATGCCTCAAAATCAATAAGCCAAAAGTACACCCCATGAGCCCACACAACACACCATACATCACAGGTTACCAGGCCCTCGCAGCTGCCTTCCAGCGTCAGGGCTCTTTCGTTAGTATTACACGGTAATGGTGATGGACCGAGGAGGAGGAAAGCACTGAGGATGGAAACAAATGCTTCTAGTTTTATTTAAGATCCGCCCCGACAGGTCTTGAAGCTGCAGGGTGGCCAGTAGAAAGTGATCTTGAAGTTCTTGCCAAAACTCAGAGCCTGAACCAAAACCCAGGGGGGAAGAAGGAAGCCATAAATCATCCATATTTGTCGAGTCCATTTCAATTGAGAAGTTGAATTGAAAAGAAGACCTTGCTCTTTACCTAAACAAGAGAGTCCGAACAGCAGTCCTTTAAGTGACAGCTTCCACCCTCAGCCTTTGCTGAACTCTACTTCAGAAGGCATCACACTGCTTGCCAACAAGTGGGAGCAAGAGGGGGTCGCACGGCAGAAAACCACCTGGAGTTACCGCAGTTCAGTGTGGTGGCTGTGGAGCCCAATTCTGTGCCAGGCACTGCGCTGACAGCGGACAGACCCCAAGATGATCGACACCCCATGGCTGCTAATCTCCAAAGGAAGCCACACAAAGCGGCCACTGTGACGCACTGTGGTAGCTGCCATGACGGCATGGAGGACACAGGGCACGCAGGCACCCCTTTCTACCCCAGCCTTCTTCTGGACGACCTGACCCCTGAGGAAAAACAGTTCCGAGGCTTGCTGACCTGGCTGGTACATCAGAATCATAAGGTGCTTCTGAGATATTGGTGCTCAGGCCTCTTCCAAGAACCAAGGCATTAGTATTCCTGGGGATATAACTTGGGACATATACATTAAAAAAAAAATTCATGTAGGTGTCTTCTGATGAACATAGAGTCAGAACTGAAAAAAAAAAGAGTCTGCCAGGGGCGCCTGGGTGGCTCAGTTGTTAAGCGTCTGCCTTCGGCTCAGGTCATGATCCCAGGGTTCTGGGATTGAGCCCACATTGGGCTCCCTGCTCCGCGGGAGGCCTGCTTCTCCCTCTCCCACTCCCCCTACTTGTGTTCCCTCTCTCGCTGTATCTCTCTCTGTCAAATAAATAATAAAAAAAAAAAAAAATCTTTAAAAAAAAAAAAGAGTCTGCCAGAAGGGTGGGTGCTACAGTCTGAGTGTTTGTGTGTCCCCCCCCCCCCACCAAATTCCTATGTTGAAATCCTCACCCCTAAAGATGATGGCATTAGGAGGTGGGGCCTTTGGAGTGATTAGGTCATGAGGATGGAGCCCTCAAGAGTGGGATCAATGCCCTTATAAGAGGCCTCAGAGAGATCTCTAGCCCCTTCCACCCTGTGAAGGTACAATGAGAAGTCTATGACCTGAAGAGGGCTCTCACCAGAACCCAACCAGACTGGCACTCTGATCCTGGGACTTCCAGCCTCCAGAACTGTAAGCAATATATTTCTACTGTTCCTAAGCCACCTAGTCTGTGGTATTTTGTTCTAGCAGCCTGAACAGACTAAGGTGGTGGGAAAGGGTTTTCCAGGAAGAAGGAACAGATTTGGCAAAACAAGGGGCCATGACACAGCAAGGTGATCACGGCGGGGGGACTGGAAGACCGGTCAGAGCAGACTCAGGGGGAGCTGATGCAGGCAAGGCTGGCTGGTCTCTGGGCAGAGTCTTGCAGGTCATGTAAAGAAGTCTGTACTTTCCTGTAGGGGAGAAGGAATTCCAAAAAGTGTCAACTGGGAGAAGTAGCAAGGTAATTTTTTGATTTTAGAAAGATCATTTTGATGGATGGATTTGAATGGGGCAAGACCTATATGGTTGGAAAGCCTGCAGATATTGATGCTATCAATTATTATTTTACAAAGAGGAAATATCTGCTTTTTATTTTTAAGTAGAATTCTAGAAAATGAATATTAAGTACCCAATTGAGCTTGAGATAGTTATTAGACTGTTTTGCAAACAAGGTCTTGTGTTAGATGTGGTAGTGAAAGGCAAGAGATTTGGCACCAAGCTTCCTGGGTTCAAACTGTGGCCCTACCACTTCCTGGCTAAGTGACCGTGGGTAAGTTACTAAATCTCTCTGAGGTTCAGTTTCCTCATCTATAAAATGGAGCAAGAGGTACCTACTTCAAGGGGTTGTAATGTATTACGCTGCAATGCCTGGCACATCATCAACACACATGAAATGTTAGCTGCTGTTCTTACCCGCAGTGGCATCATCATTATTAGGCAAGATGAGCTCACTGTCTGGTTACAGGAAAAGGGTTATAGAAAGTTCTAGGAATTCCTCTGGATTTTTCTTCAACACAGATGGTCTAGATACCGGTCTATGTACTGTCTTCAAAGCTTTCCATTTTACCAAGTGCTAGGCTGCCCTTCACAACTTTTTCTTTAACCCTCCCCCATCCCCCAAAGACAAAATTACACTTGAAATCACCAGAAAAAATGCAGAAAGCTGTAGTCAGGACTCTCTGTGAAGCTGAAAAAAAGATGGCCGAGTCCCTGATGCAATGGCAGGACAAATATAAGTGTCACACATCTCCAATTCTGACTTTGAGAATCCAGGGTGTTTTCTACAATCTTGGCACAGCAGTCTCTCATGACTAAACTTAAATTTTAATAGGAAAAAGGTTTATTGGTTTAAAACAAACAAAGAAACATATTGGCATGCTTCCTTCAACTTCTCTATTCACTCTTGATTCCAAAGAGGAAGCCACAGCTGCAGGACGTGAGCAACCAAAGAGGGCCACCTAGTGTAAAGTAAGTAGACTGTGATTTATTATTTTAAGGGCTTTAATATGAGAGCATGGAGTGAAAGCAGAATATCGTATTAAGAGTGACAGCGATGTGCCACACAGGCCTGTTATACCAAGAGTGGTAACCAGATGGTCTCCATTTCCTGTGCTAACTAAAGAAAAGGTGCACAAACGCTGGCGGGTGGGATGC